CTCTTATTTGGGATGTGTCAAAGTTCCTCAAGAGCCTCAAATGGACTTCGGGCAGTACTTACAACCCAAATATATTGCAGAATTAATATCATAGTGCAGTGTGAAAATGCCAGCCCTCAGATGTCCAAGTTCAGAGGGAACTCAAGGTCCCAAAGCAAGGCTCATAAGAGGGGGGCAGAACTTAGAATTTAAGAGTAAGTGTAAGTGCATAGAGGGGGAATTAGGGAGAGCCATGGTAGGCTGGAGCTCATGCCCAGCAATTAGGAGTGCTGGCACACCCCTAACTAGCCTATTAGCCACATTTTGAGAGTTAGGATCCATTGAGGATCAGGTTCGGACCTAAGTAGCAATTTGGATGCTATCAAGCCATGAACCTTAATTCAAACACATAGAAGGGGGTAGGGGTATAAGGAGTTCATAACAAACAGCAGATGCAAAGAGAGAGTAGCATTCTCAATACAGAACATGAACAACAAAGTAGACAGGAGTGCAGCAACGATAAAATAAACACATAGGGATGGTGTTGAAATCGAAATTAAGGCATACCAGTTTCAGGGAAACAAATAAGTGAAAGCTGAAGTCTTGTAAACCAAATTGCAAGCAAACAGTACAAAAGATCTCAGAAGAGAGTAGAATATTGAAAGAGTATTGTAATTGAGAGGTGTGTGTAAAGTGTTGAATTCGAAGTGTTGAACTGAAGGTTCAAGGTGTCTAAGTGCAGAAGGGTCGTGCCCCTTTTATAGTGCAGAAAATAAGTAAGAAAAAGTAAGGGAATAGTTTACAATCAATCACACAGAATCTTTCTTCAGTTAAGGGATTCTGATTTCAAACGGGTAGAAGACAATTAAGGAAAGAATTGGATTAAAATCTTTTCCAAAGTAGTACAAGAAGGGAAAATACATAGAAACTATTTAAGGAAAGAGTTTGATAGCAACACGGTTCGTGCAAATAAGGAAAGGGAATCAATTAAACAGCCAGGGAAATCAAAATTACAAGTTCAATTCGAATGAACCAAGTCAGAAAAAGGTAAAGGAGGTTCAATCAAAGAAAATCAGTAACAATCAACCAAACCCCCATTAGAGGATTTCAGAATCAATCATTAGTTGGTAAACCTTTTGAAAGCAAAGTTTCTCATATATAAAGCACACAAATATGTGAATCAAGAAGGAACTGTCATGTTACTTAGAAAAGAGTCTAACATAGAAAGGTTTAGAATCATAAGCAAAGGGATACGAGTTCAGTTTGTAGACTCATAATGAGTCTGAGAGTCCACGGTCCCAAAGTATAACCCTAGTCCAAGATAAACTTGCCAAAACCCAAAGCCTAGGGTTTTCAACTTTAATCAGAAGCAGAGACGAAAGGACAGATAACAGGCTCAAAGGTCTCTTTCAGAGACTCATGAGAAACAAACAGACATGATACACAATCAAGAGCATAGAGAACACGTTTTGAGAAAAACTCAGAACTTAAACAAGTTCAGAAGAAAAAGTGATATAAACTTAAGAAGCGGTAGATGAAACACATTTAGCAAGAACATGAAAAGAGTCCAGTAAAGCAAACACATATTGAAGAACTTAACAGTAAACAAATTTAGTAGAAGAGCAATGAAAACATAACAAGGATAATCATATGAGCACAGAAGTAACATGTATAAAAGAAAAGTAGAAGGACAGTACATGCGTAGTAAAAAGAAGTCACACGAGCATGATATATACAAACACACATAAAGAAAAGAAGAAGAAGAATCAGAAAGATGTTTTTTGAAAAACCTTTCAGAAACCCTAAATCGAAGACAAACGATTTTGAAAAGAAAATTTGGGGAAAACACTTTAAATGTCAAGTAAAGCATAGATACAGCACAGATCTAAGCAAACAAACAAAGAAAGAACCTCAAATATCTTAGGGTTTCGGAGAAACCCTAGAAATGAGAAAGGCTTGGAAGAAGGTCCGATCTTGAGTCGGATGAGTTAGAATCAGGCTCCTAATGCTTGAATATGCCAGAGCATGGCCGGAGAAGCCATAGAACTGCAGATCTGAGAAGGATCTGAAGAGAGCCATCGGAGTCAGGCCTCGAAGCTTCGAACAACCATGGTTTGATGGTGGAGGGGGGTGAATACCAACCATCCATGGCCTGAGAAGCCGTGGATTCCGGTGAAAGGCGGTTGAAAAGGGGTAGGAGGAGGCTAGGGTTCCGATGAGTTTTGAGAGAGATTGAGAGTTCAGAGGTGGTTGAGAGGTGGAAATGAATGAGATTAGGGTAGTCGTTTAGGTTTAATTAGGAAAGGGCTATTTTTGGCCGTTGATCTTGAGTGATCAACGGTCCAGATTTAAGTGGTAGGTGGGGAACGAGTTGGGTTATTTAAAATCGGGTCATGGGTTGGGTAAAAATTGGAATTGGGACGGTCCAGTTGGGGTTAGGATTGGGGTCAAATTAAGGTTAAAAATTGAAATGAAATGGGACTGTAATTGAAATGAAATGGGGTTAAATGTTAAATAGCCAATTTTTCCTTTTATTTTATAAAAAATAGTAAAAATGATTTTAAAAGCAAATTAAAAGTACTTAGACAATTAATAATATATAAATATCAGTTTAAAAATACTGGAACCAATTTTACAATTATAAAATGCTATTAATCTTAAAGTAGGCTAGAATTGCAATTATATGTAATTTAGTCTTTTAATTACCAAATAAATTTGTAAAAATGTACAAAAATTATCTTAACTATATTTTGGTATAAATATGGGAGTAAAATAAATTATTCACTATGATTGATGATTTTGGGAATAATTACGGATTTTGTACTGCTAAAATGGATAGTAAATTGATTTTAAAACCCTTCAAAAGATCGGAAAAATACTAAAACACTTGGGTATGCTTATGTATGCATATATATGCTATTTTGAAAGTACTTTGTATATAAAAATACATAGAAAAAATTGGGTATCAACACTAGGTCATTAGGTAGGGAGTTGTCCTTTTGTTGGGTGTGGTTTGCAGGAGAACGTGGGGGAAAATCAGTATTACCAACTAGAGGCTACGTATTATCCAGTAGGTTTTGGTTTTCCCTATTGTTCAGTGGTTGCTTCTGGGCAGAAGCTGCGTCTGCTCTTTACCACAATTGTGGACTTTGGCTAGGCTTTTTGGTGGTCATTCCTTTAGAGTTCTCTAGGTCTTTACTAGGGTTTAGGTTATAGGGGTTGTTTTGATATTTTTTATTTTTCCTTTGGTGGGATACAATTGTCCATTGGTCAATCTTTTGTGTGATAGCTTCCACCGTGTTTGGCTTGGGCAGGATCTTGGGGGGATTAGTACCTTCTTGTTCATCCATCTTAGGATTTTGGTATGAGCAACTACTTAGGTTATGCCCAAGTCTGCCACAATTTGTGCATAGGAGATTGAAGCCTACGTAGGTAATTCGTTGTATATGTTTGCCAATCACAATGTAGGTTTTGAGTGGTTTTTCTATAGGTACTAATACGCATAGTCGAGCATACTTACCTCTTAGCGCGGATTTGGTGCAGGCATCAATACGTATTAGTTGTCCTAACTTTCCTCCAATTTTTTGGAGTATGTCGTAGTCATAGAATTCAGTGGGTAATTCCAGGAGTCTTGCCCATATAGCTGAGTATGTTAGCGCAACTTTGGAGGCTATAAATCTGGGCTCCCATTTCTTTACTGTGAGAAATTGATTCCCTATGAACCATGGTCCTTCATGAAGAGCCTTATTATAATTCTCTTCCTTAGTAAATTTTATTAGGTAATAGTTGCACCCTAGGTCCACGAGAGATAGGGTTTCCGTTTGTCTCCATATCGCATGTAGTTTTTTTTTGGAGGAATTGGTAACCAACTCTTTTGCGAAACATTTTGATAATGAGCACGTTGGTCTAGTTTTTATATATACGCTCCTTATCCAACGAGGTGATGGGAATGAAGAACTCTGGGTTAGGGTAGTTATCAGTTTCATCTTCCGGTTCATATGAGTCCATGTTTTGTTGTACTGTAACTTGGCTACCTTATGGTTCAATGTTAGCGATATTGTTTGAAATCAAGGTATCCAAGAAGGATATCCTCTTTGTAGGGTTTGTTGTGTCATTTGCTCCTATTGCTAGTTCACCGGGGGATTGACCTCTACTGATTTCCATGTCCATTGGTGGGGTGGGTGAAAGGGAATAGCCTGGCGTTACCATGAGGTTTTCTTGCTCATTTGTTAATGCTTGGGTGATCTTTTCTCCTGTTAAGGCATTAAGGGTCGATTCTTTTTGGTTCAAGTTGTTTTTTCTTTTGTGTTCATTAGGAAAAGATGGGGAAAAGATGAAGAGAAAAAACTATGTAGTTTTGGGGAGTTTGATGAGGGATCTTTTAGAGAGAAGGTAGAGCATCTCTCTCTAACCCATGACTTTTAGGATGAAAAATCTCAAATCCCGGGAAATCTATTTTAATTGTCGCTAAAAGTCATAGCTTTAATGACAATTGTTTAGCGGCCATTTTAATGGCTATTAATGTCATCCCAAAAATGACCTAATTTTCACCTTTAGCATCTTTTTCTATTGCCGGTAAATTCAATTAATAGTCGCTAAAAAGTAACCTTTTCAGCGGCAAATGAAGAATAAAATTTATTGCCGTAAAAAATATGAAAGTTTTAACAACAATTGTAATTCTTTGTCTTGTCCTTTTGACAACCTTTATTTGTTGCTATCAAAATTATCTTCCAAGTGGCAAATGCTAACAAGGATATGACTAATAAAATTGTAATATCAAGAAAAATAAAAGAAAGAACATTCCATAGTAGGAATGTATCAATGGAAAGGATCAAAAAAATTACATTGTTTAAACTAAAAAATCAATGTCATTGTAATTAATCCTATCGAATACCGACAATAATAAAATAGCATATGCATAACCGTCAAACAATTTCTGTAACTCTTCATCATATTGAAATTCTTCCATGCTAAATTTTCAAACTTTATTGGCATAACCTGAAATAATAAAATAAGGGAACGTCAAAAGAAAAAGTTGAATGTGAAACAGAAAAATTGTGAGTCTACATCTAAAATATAAAGTGAAAATAGTCCATCTTGATCAACTGAGCTATTTCCTTAACCATGTTATTTCATTTAAGTCAATTCAGTCAATTCCCAAGTTCAAATTCAACTCGTGCAGATAGAGAGGCTATATTATCTTATCTTCAGTAACAGTTGGTGGAATAACTGCATAACGCAATATGACTAACCAAGCTATCAGTACTCATTCAGACATAAAATTAAAAAAATTAAGGAGTACATTCTAGTACCTGAATGGTCATAGGTTCAAGACAATGAGATTGTTGAGGTTAAAAGCAGATGCAACAAGAATCAACCAAATTGGTACTTCTCAGCAACAGACACAACCTTCCAAGGATGCACGTATCCAAAAGAACAATAGCTTAATATCTGTAATGCTAGATGTTTTCCAGATTTGCTTCTAATATACAAATCAATGGCAAGATTAAAAGTTTCTAAGTCAATATAACATCCTATGGAAACGTAACAACAATCCTAGACCTCAATTCCAATTAGCTAGTATATCACCAATATCAATTTCTCCTATTCTTCTGCTAACAATTTTTATGAGAGGGAATAATAATAAAATGTTCACCATTCATTAGCAACTCAAAATAAAATCAAACTGGTGCAAAACACAATTCGCAACATATTGAGCATAATTCAAAAGAGGAGTACCATGTTGACATATTCAAGTATAAGAGCAATACCATCCTTATCAATAAAAAAAGAGCAATACCATGAGAAGATGGAGTATTTTCACCAATACTATGATTCTATTGCGCTTGTGGTACTCGTTCATGGCCACTGTTGGCATCACGAACCTGATCAATATTAGCATGTTGGATAACACTAATTTAATAAGACTAAAGTTTCAGAACAAATGTTTTAGATTTTTGAATTTGAGTTACCTGTCCAATTTCGCACATGACTTGTCTCATCCATGATAATTCATGCTTCATCGAACTCATTTCTTCACTTTGTTTTTCATTTAACTCCGTTAACTGTATTACCTTTTGTTCTAACCTTTTTACCTCATTAGAAGAATCATTTGGACCAATATTTCCTATGGAGGATTTACTACCCCATAATATAGAAGGAGTTGGACCAAGTCCCAAACCTCGAACATATCCGCTTTTTTCATTTCCCAAGACTTGAGAATATACATCTCCTTCCCAAGCAACATTCTGAGGAGGATGGTCATTTTGTCTCTCACTATTACTCCTCAATCTTTCATTTATCATGTCCTGATTAGAGAGAGTTGTCAAAGAAGGTAAAATATATTCAGAAACAACAGAAAATTGCTGAAAGAAAATACTTCTAAATTCGGAAGAGGTATTGTCACGACCCAGATTTTTCACCCTCGGGAGTTGTGATGGCGCCTACTTATGTGAGCTAGGCAAGCCAATTATTGAACCATCTACCTTTTTACCAATTTTATTCTCTTTAATAATTACGAAGAAATAACATTTAAACAACGGAATATAACATAAGCGGAAGAAAACAATAAGCCATCTGAACATGAATATCTATTAAAACCGTTTGAGTCTCGACTACCTAGAACTGGTGTCACAGTTTCACAGACGGTCTAAGAATACTACATATAAAGGTCTGAAAGAATTAAATACAACACTGTCTCTGGAAATACATGTAAGAAACAAGATAGTAGATAGAAGGAGACGCCAAGTCCTACGGACGCCTGCAGGGCTACCTCGGGTCGCCTGATGAACAAGAATCAACAATCTCACTGTGGTCCGAAGTCTACAACACTGGGGTCTGCACAAAAGAGTGCAGAGTATAATATCAGCACAACTGACCCCATGTGCTGGTAAGTGCCTAGCCTAACATCGGCGAAGTAGTGACGAGGCTAGGACCAGACTACCAAATAAACCTGTGCAGTTATATAATATACATCGAAAAGTAAAGTAGGAATAAGTAAAGATGGGAGGGGGAAACATGTTGCGGAGATATACCAGTAATAACAGTAAATCCAGAGTAACAGTGTAAGGGCAACTTAGGATTCACAGCGAACAAAAGTAACTAATATCCAAAATAAACACATTTGTATCAATAATTGTTGCGGCGCGCAACCCGATCCCAATATATAACGACACTGTTGCGGCATGCAACCCGATCCACATATAATATTGTTGCGGCGTGCAACCCGATCCACATATAATATTGTTGCAGTGTACAACCCGATCCACATATAATATTGTTGCGGCGTGCAACCTGATCTAATATAAAATCAACAACAATCATAACAAGAGTCCCGACAAGGGATCAATAAGGTCTACACTATCCCGGCAAGGGATTCAACATCATAAGTAATACGTCCCGGCAAAAGGAGAAACAGCTATAACCAAACTTGTTACAATACCTAACTACCTCAGCTACAACCAAACTTGTTACAACACCTAACTACCTCAGCTATAACCAAACTTGTTACAACACCTAACTGCCTCAACTATAACCAAACTTGTTCCAACATCTAACTACCACAACTATAACCATAATCCTTACCCAACACAAAGAATTATCAACCTAAGCATCCGTAATATCAATTAAGAACACCATGCAAGGGAACCACAACTCAACAATAGCCCGGCAAGGGGGCAACATAATGATCTCTTCTCTTTCTCACTTTTACTTCACAATTCACTTCACAACTCGAGCCAATGCTTTAGAGTTTCAATTATCACTTATACTTTCACAATTCGTTATACAACTGGAGCCAACGCTCTTCGATGTTCATAGGTCATAATTCTTCCACAACTTTACACAACAAATAGAAATCTTCACCACGACATGAATAATACAACGAAATCATGAAAATCACAATATAAGACTCACGGTCATGCTTGATACCAACGTATAGATACTCGTCACCATGCATATACGTCGTACTCAACCAGAAGAAAATAGCAAATAGGACACAACTCCTAATCCCTCAAGCTAAGGTTAGAGCAAACACTTACCTCGAACTCCACGGCTAACTCAAGCCTCAAACACCGCTTTCCCTTTCGAATTTGGCTCCAAATCAATCGTATCTATACATAATCGACTTAATAACATCAATAAAATACTTAATTATAGTTTTCTAATCATTCTTCCCAAAAATCCAAAAATTGACCCCGGGCCCGCTTGGTCAAAACACGAGGTTCGGACCAAAACCCGATCACCCATTCACCCACGAGCCCGAATATATAATTTGTTTTGAAATCCTACCCCAAAAACGAGGTCAAATTCTCAAATAATCAAAAAGCCCTAACTCTACCCAAATCCCTAATTTTCTACCCTTAATCACATGTTTTAGGCCTAGAAATCTAGTGGGTGTTGATAAAAATGGAAAAAAATAAGTCAAAGATTACTTACCCAAGACATTATGGTGAAGAAGTTCTTCAAAAATTGCCCAAGAAGTGTGGAGAAGAAGAAGTTTGTGAAAAATGGGTTAAATCCCGTAATGCATTCTGTTTTTGAAACTTAAAATAACTGGGCGAAATTGGTCTTCGCGTTAACGATAAGCTCAACGCGTTCGAGATGAGTTAGGCCTGACAGACCTTCACGTTCGCGACAAAGGGCTTGCGTTCGCGGAGAAGTAACTCCTCGAGCCTTCGCGTTCGCGTCCAGGCGGTCGCGTTCGCGTCCAGGCAGTCGCGTTCGCGTGGGTTTAATACCCCTCCCCCTGCCCAGGCTCATAAGCCTTCGCGTTCGCGTTACCA